GAGGGTTGCAGCGACGGTGAGTATCGCATCACCGCAAGTCCGGCCTGGGTAACAGAGAAGACTCTGTCCAAAAAAAAAAAAAAAAAAAAAAAAATTAGCCCACGGTTGATGGTACAGCCTGTAGTCCCAGCTACTCCTGGAGGCTGAGGTAGGAAAATCACTTGAACCAGGAGGCAGAGGTTGCAGTGGAGAAGATCGTGCCACAGCATTCCAGCCTGGGAGAGTGAGAAAAAAAAAAAGAAAAAAAAACAGGTGGCTTGGGTTGAGCAGGCAGCAATACAAACCCCTTCCCCAGTCAACCCCAGCGAGTAGGCAGCCCTGCTCCTGTTTCCATATTCGGCTTCAGGCACAAATCTAAACAAGGGTCCTTGACTAAAGAGAAAAAAACACACAACAAAAAACACTGAAAAACCACATAGCGTTGGTTAAACCACACAAGCCCTGGCATCACAAAGCCCAGGTGAAAAGCCCACCTTTGCCGCTCACCCCTGAACCTGTTTCCTCCATCCACAAATCCCCCTCTGTAGGGACGCCGTGAGGTCGCGGAAGCTCATCCACGCAACACACCAGTGCCTGCTCCATTCAAGAGCTCAGGAAACGCCAGCTCCCGCCTCCTCAGGCTTCCAAGCCAGGCTCCCAGGGAAAGCCGCAGGCCAGTTTTACAGTTTAGGAAGGTCTTAGAGACAATCTAGAGAAGTTTGACCTAGTCAAGGTCAGAAAATCCAAAAGCTAACAACAGCCAGGCAGGTAACCATAAGTGAAGAAAGTAGGCCAGGTGTGAGGCCAATCTGGAGAGAGACAAGGAAATATTCCACCTTTCCTCTTAACTTCGCAACAAACAAAAATAACCACATGGCGTCAGCCCAATAATAAATGTAACAAGCCTGCAGCCAAGTCCTGGGGACTGTGGTGAAAAGAGCTGCGTCCCATCCATTCAGATCCCAGCCATCTGTTGCCATCCAAATGAGGACCCAGCATTGTTAGACTGATGTTTTTTTTTTTTTTTTTTGAGAAGCCAGAAAATCTAGATCTAGACTTTAATTGAAAATCTGGTTTTTAAAGGCTAGTGACCCATTCTGTTTTTTTAAGAAAACAATGCCTCAACAGAAAAGTGTCAAAGTAGGGTGGGACGGGGCTGCCCACGTTGTTGTCCCTGACATACATGCTCTTTTTTTTTTTTGAGATGGAGTCCTCACTCTGTCGCCCAGGCTGATACAGTGCCGCAATTCTCAGCTCACTGAAAACCTTCGCCTTCCTGGGTTCAACAGTTTCCCTGCCTCAAGCCCTTCTGAGTAGCTGTGGGGTACTAAGGTGTGGCACCACCACGCCCAGCTAATTTTTTTCGTATTTTTAGTAGAGACAGGGTTTCGCCATGTTGGCCAGGCCGGTGATCCTGACCTCAGGTGATCCACCTGCCTCGGCCTCCCAAAGTGCTGGGATTACAGGCATGAGCCACCACGCCCAGCCAATGCTCCTGAAGGTCCTCTGCAACCCTGAGGATTTGGAGAACCATCAGACAAGTTCTGTGCCAAGGTAAGAAGACTCTTCAAGATTCTCTCCAAAACTTCTTCCCAGCAGCACCGCAAGGAACTGCACAGCTGAGAGTCTTGGGAGACCCAGTTTCTCCTCTTCCTGCTCCTCCCAGGCCTCGTCGCCTGCAGATGGTCAACAAGGCAAAAGCAGAAGCAGAAAGAAGGGCAGGGGCGAGACCCCACACACGCCAGAGACAGAGCGGCAAGGAGCAGCGAAAGAAAGGTTTCATTTTCTTCTGTTTATTTCAAGAGAACAAAGAATCAACCATCAGTTCTGTACAAAAACATGGTGTGAGAGCCATGGGACCCTCGGCCCAGCCCCCTTCCTGCACTTGAGCCCCGGGCCCCCCTAATTTGCCAAAAAACCATGAGAAGACCAAAAAACTCAAACTCTGGGGGAAAAAATTACTATGAAAAAAAATCAGGGGAGACCTTCCTGGGCCTCCCTTTCTCCCTATCCCCAACCTAGAAATTTAGGGGGGGGTTGCGGTTCATGGCCATAGCAGAGGTTGGGGCAGATGGGTGTCGGTAGATTTAGTGTTTGGCAACCAGTGGGGCTGGGGGTGGGATCTGGGAGGGAGCCGAGGGGCCTGGGGAAGGGAAAAGATCTTGGACCCTGCCCTGGCCCACAGGACACTCAAAAACACTTTATAAAAATTGGGGCCACAGAGTAGAAGAAAAACGAGTCATCAGAATCAAAAACTAAAGAGTGGAAAGATTTTTTTTTTCTTCTCTAAAAGGCAAAAAACTACAAACAGCCCAAGTCCTGAGCTCCCCAAGACCTGGATCCTCCACTGTCCCCCTGAAACCCGGCAGGAGGCGGGATGGGGAGCGCGAGAGGTGGGTTCTTAAAAAAGTCACCCCTGGATGGGAAAGTTCTTCATCTTCTGCCGCCTTCCTCTGCCTCCCGCCGCTGCCGAGGAGAGAGATGGAGAGGACCGGGGCTATGCCGGCAAACTCAACTTCTTCCCCTTTAGGACTGTGAGGAGAGAAAACAGGGAGGATGTTACCGCCGGGGCCCCTGCAGGGCGGGGACAGTCTCCCACAGCCAGAGCAGGGCAGGCACGCTAGATGGGCAGGTCCACAGGGAGGGAGGTCCCCAGGACTCACGAATACATTCCTGGTTTCTTTCTTTCCTACCCCTTCTCCCTACTGGCAATTCTCTTTCTTTTTTTGAGATAGCATCCCACTCTATAGCCCAGGCTGGAATGCAGTGGTATAGTCACAGCTCCCTGCAGCCTTGACCTCCTCAAGCAATTCACCCACCTCAGCCTCCCAAGGAGCTGGGACCACAGGCATGCACCACCATGCCCAGCTACTTTTTTAATTTTTTATTTGTTGTAGTGACAGGGTCTTGCTATGTTGCTCTGGAACTCCTAGGCTTAAGCACTCTCCCAAAGTGTTGGGATTACAGGCATGAGCCACTGTGCCTGGCCAATTCTCTTTCTATGTATTTTTTTTAAGGGTTTTGTTTTGTTTTGTTTTTCTGAGACAGGGTCTCACTCTGTTACCCAGGCAATCACAGCTCACTGCAGGCTTGAACTTCCCAGACTCAGGGGATCCTCCCACCTCAGCCTCCTGAGTAGCTGGAACCACAGGTGCACGCCACAACACCCAGCTAATTTTTCCATTTTTTTGTAGAGACAGGAACTCGTCACGTTGCCCAGGCTAGTCTCAAACTCCTGGGCTCAAGCCGTCCACCCGCCATGGCCTCTCAAAGTGCTGGGTTTATAGGCGTGAACCACCACGCCCGCCATGGCCTCTCAAAGTGCTGGGTTTACAGGCATGAACCACCACACCCGATCGATTATTTCTCTTTACTTGTTCATTCACCATCTCCTCCACCAGAATAAAAGGGAAATAGAGGTCTTTGTCTGTCTTTTCTCCTCCTACTGTATCCCCAGAGCCTGGCACCTGGCTGGGGACACAGAAAGTACTCAATACGTTCGTTGAATGAATAAATGAACGAATCTCAGTGGGCTGAGTCCCTGCCCTGCCTGGCCTGCACTCCAAGTGACACGGGGGCTAAGGACAGAGGCTAACGGTCTGAATTCCTAGGAGGATGGTGGGCCTGCAACCCCAGAAACCAGGTGAAGAAACGCTCCCTCCTTTGCATAATACAGGGGTAAGGAGACAGACCCCAGGCCCCAGGCCCCAGGCCCCAGGGAGGGCAGGAGCCGCAGAAATAGGAGGTTCCCGTCCAGCCGCCCCACATCCCGGCTACCTTTGGTGATATAGAGGTAGAAGAAATCGCAGTAGAGGACTGTCTGGACCAGGCCTGCCACGATGGCGATGAGGTCGAAGAAGCCCTCGAAATGGTAGCGCCAGATCCAGTTGAAGAGATAGAGCGTGCGGTAAACGCCCAGCGCAAACAAGTAGTGGCTGGTGATGGTCTCCGCCTCGCCAGTCTTGCTCACCATGAACAGCTGTGGCAAGATGGCCACCGACTCCAGGTAGATGGAGAAGGTCCAGAGGATCTGCAGAGAGACCAAGGACAGTATGAGGTGGGAGGGGACAGGGCGGGAGAGAAGGCAGAGGACGACATGGCAGTTACAGGTGCTGCGAAGGTGGAGAGAGAAGGAAGGTAGTCCAGGCGCTGCCACGTGCCACACACAGTTCTGCCTGAGTTACTGGTATCTCTGATTTAATCATCACCATGGCCCGGCGAGGAGATCCTATGATTAGCACACTTATTCTACAGATGAGGAAACTGACACCAGAGAAGGTAAGATACTCGCCCAAGACCATGTAGCCAGCAAGCAGCAGAGCAATGATTCGAACCAAGGATCTGTGGTCCGTCCTCATGAACACTTTGCACTCGAGCCTCTCTGAAAGGCAGGCTGGGCTGGAATCTTGCCTTGGAAATTTCCCTTCCTTTTTCTTCTTTTTGAGATGGAGTCTCACTCTGTCACCCAGGCTAGAGTGCAGTGGAGCGATCTCGGCTCACTGCAACCTCTGCCTCCTGGGTTCAAGCGATTCTCCCACTTCAGCCTCCTGAGTAGCTGGGATTACAGGCGCCTGCCACCACACCCAGCTAATTTTTGTATTTTCAGTAGAGACAGGGTTTCACCATGTTGGCCAGGCTGGTCTCGAACTCCTGACCTCAGGTGGTCTGCCCGCCTCGGCCTCCCAAAGTGCTGGGATTACAGGCGTGAGCCACCGCGCCCGGCCCACATGCCATTTCCCGCGGCATGTTGCACATGCTGTTCCCACAGCAGGAAAAGCTCTTCCCCACACTGTCACACATCTGCCTACTCCATATTCGCCCAGCCTCAGCTCATCAGTCACCTCCTGAGAGGGACCCTCCCTGGCCATCCTTCCCCCAGGACTGTCACACCATCTTATCTCCTTCCTGGCCACCCGCACCAGCAACTGAGCTCTGTGAAGGCTGGGATCCTACTTCTTGTTTGCCCCGCGGCCGTAGCACCTAGTACAGTTCTTGAATGAGTGAGAAAATGGGAGCGAGCATCTACAAAGGGGTCCCCATGTGCTCAGCACAGGCCACCATTTAGGGAGCAGTGACAACCATCATTCGTGAGCAGGACAGGACATCATGGGACAGGGGAGAAGATATCTGCCAGCCCCCTTTCAGTTCCCAGCTCCCTGAAAGTGCCACCTGGGGTGATGTGTGATCTGCAGACACACTGAAACCTCCCTTCAGAGTGCAAAGCCAGGTGGCAGGTGTGGCTCCTCGGCTGTCTTGGTTTGTGGGAGGAAGGCGGGGGCACCAGGACCTGTTCATAACAACTCCTGCTTTTCTAGCATTTACGACATCCAAGGCACCGCTCCTTAGGGTGTTCACTGGCCTGAGCCTTAACCCCATGAGGTAGGTACTGTTGTCATTCCCATTGTACAGATGAGGAAACTGAGGCCCAAGGGATAAGAAACATGTCCGGATTCCCACTGAGGCAGGTAGAGTCCAGGACCTGCTCCCAGAATCCTCCAGAATCCTCCAGGGAGGCTCTCGTCAAGCCAAGTTAGTTGATGCTGCTGGGACACGAAACCATGAAATTCATGCCCATTCAACTCTTACCCCTGGGGTTGCCCTTAGGGAATAGAGTCATAGCTTAGGCAGAAATAGAAGGTCTGTTGCATTTTTTTTTTTTTTCCTGAGGCGGAGTTTCGCCCTTATCACCCAGGCCGGAGTGCAGTGGCGCAATCTTGGCTCACTGCAAACCTCCGCTTCGCGGGTTCAAGTGATTCTCCTGCCTTAACCTCCCAAGTGCCTGGAATTACAGGCACTCACCACCACACCCAGCTAATTTTTGTATTTTTTTTAGTAGAGACAGGGTTTCACCACATTGGCCAAGCTGGTCTTGAACTCCTCACCTTAAATGATCCACCCATCTCAGCCTCCCAAAGTGCTGGGATTATAGGCGTGAGCCACTGCACCCAGCCTTATTGCATTTTTATCTATTCCATGATGTCGAATTTTTTATTTTTTTATTTTATTTTTTATTTTTTGAAATGGTGTCTTGCTCTGTCACCCAGGCTGGAATGCAGTGGTGCGATCTCAGCTCACTGCAACCTCTGCTGGCCAGGTTCAAGTGATTCTCCTGCCTCAGCTTCCCGAGTAGCTGAGATTATAGGTGCGTGCCACCACGCCCGGCTAATTTTTGTATTTTTAGTAGAGATGGGGTTTCAGCATCTTGGCCAGGCTGGTCTTAACTCCTGACCTCGTGATCCATGATCCACCTGTCTCAGCCTCCCAAAGTTCTGGGATTACAGGCATGAGCCGCTGCGCCCAGCCTGTCTGAATTTTTAAAGAATATTTTCCTTAGGCCAGGCATGGCAGTTCACACCTGTAATCCCAGCACTTTGGAAGGCTGAGGCAGGCATCCGGATCACTTGAGGCCAGGAGTTCAAGACCACCCTGGTCAACATGGCAAAACCGTGTCTCCTAAAAATACAAAAAAATTTTACCTGGGCATGGTGGCCGCTGCCTGTAATCCCAGCTACTCGGGATGCTGAGGCATGAGACTCTCTTGAACCCGGGAAGCAGAGGTTGCAGTGAGCTAAGATCATGCCACCGCACTCCAGTCTGGGCAACACAGCAAGGCTCAAAAAAAAAAAGAGGCCTGTGTTCTGGTCTGGCCTCCTCCACCTTTAGCAAGCCGCACTACCTCCCTCAGCCTCAGTCAGTCTCCCCATCCTCAAAATGGGTCTAGTAATCCCTAGTCAACAGGACAGTTATGAGCTAAGTCAAGGGCTTGGATAAGCGATCCAAGCAAGGTGATAACAATATATTTGCAAAGTCCAGGATTCCCGCCACCGTATGATGCAGCTTCCCTCTGATATCTCTGACCCATGGGCCAAAGTCACCCTCTGTTGGATTTGTCTGGCCTGTACAGTGCTTTTAAAGCTGTATTTTGAAGGCCAGGCACAGTGGCTCATGCCTATAGTCCTAGCACTTTGGGAAGCCGAGATGGGAGGATTGCTTAAGACCAGGAGTTTGAGACCAGCCTGGTCAACATGGCGAAACCCCATCTCTACTAAAAACACAAAAATTAGCCAAGCATGGTGGCAAGCGTCTGTAATCCCAGCTACTCAGGAGGCTGAGGCAGGAGAAACACTTGACCCGGGAGGCGGGAGTTGCAGCGAGCCAAGATCACGCCACTGCACTCCAGCCTGGGCGACAGGGCGAGACTCCGTCTTGAAAAAAGAAAGAAAGAAAGCAAGAAAGCAAGATAGTTTGAATCTGTGGCTAAAATTTTAAAATGCGACATCTTGCCTGAAAACTCCTGAATTATGGCTTCTGTTGAAAAGATCGGCACATCTGGCCACCCAGGCCTATCTTCCTATAAGGCAGGAGTGGGCATAGGTAAGAAAAGGTTGCCCTGAATTTATTATTCCTGCCAGGCCCCAGGAGGCAAGAGATCGCAAACTTAGCATTGGTTCTCCCAGAATTCCTCCCAGGAGTTTGTACAGGTTCCAGCAAAAACACCATGGAATAAAAAAATCATAACAGCAAACATTTAAAAGTATGAGAGATGGGACTAAACACTTCAGTCACTGAACACTGACACGGCACTTCCTACCTCACCCCAGACACTGTGCTTTATTCATACCAACCTCTCATTTGAACCCGATGACACAGGAACTGATTATCTCCATTTTACAGATGAGGAAACTGAGGCACAGGGTAGTTATGTGATTTACCCAGAATCCCATAGCTGCTACGTGGTAGAGGCAGGATCCAAATCTTTACACTCTGACTCTAGAGTCTTTATGTGTTTTGACACCAGGCAATGCTGCAAAATCTCAGTAAATTCTCACAATGACCTGATCACAACTTTACAAATGTGGAAACCGAGGTACAGAGAGGTCAAGTCACATGCCCAGGATCATGCTAATAGAAACTAGCAGATTTGGGGCCAGGCGTGGTGGCTCATGCCTGAGGTCAGGAGTTCGAGACCAGCCTGGCCAATATGTTGAAACCCTGTCTCTACTAAAAATACAAAAATTATACTGGCGTGGTGGTGGGCAAATCTGCAATCTCAGCTACTCAGGAGACTGAGGCAGGACAATCACTTGAACCTGGAAGGTGGAGGTTGCAGTGAGCCAGAATCGTGCCACTGCCTCCAGTCTGGGCAACCAAGCGAGGCTGTTTCAGAAAAAAGAAAGAAAGAAAGAAAGAAAAAAGAAACTAGCAGATTTGGAATTCAAATTCAAGAAGGCTGGGCCAGGTGTGGTGGCTCACACCTATAATCCCAGCACTTTGGGAGGCCAAGAGAGGCAGATTATTTGAACCCAGGAGTTTGAGACCAGCCTGGTCAACATGCGAAACCCTGTCTCGACTAAAAATACAAAAATTAGCAGAGCATGGTGATGTGCACCTGTCTTCCCAACTACTCGGGAGGCTGAGGCAGGATAATTGCCTGAACCTGGGAGGCGGGGGTTGCAGTGAGCCGAGATCGTGCCACTGCACTTCAGCCTGGGCAACAGAGTGAGACTCTGCCTCCAAAAAAAAAAAAGGATCCCTAAGCCTCAGTTTCCTCATCTGTAAAATGGGGCTGCTGAGAAAGGTAAGTAGGTGAAATGCTTAGGGTAGTGACTGACACATAGTGAGTCTTGCTGCTGTTGTGTGAATCTCCTCTGACCCCACAGCCCATGCACTGAACTTATGCGTCCTAAAATAAGGCAGTTTGGGCATACCCTGCAGAAAGAAGCCTGTGAGAGGGTCTCCTGTCACCGCTACTCTGCCACAACCATCCCCCCAAATAAGGAGCCACAGCAAGGCGCCTACCTCCAGAGGGGTGAAGTCATGATTGACCAGGAATGCCAGAATGGCTGTGGGAACGACCAGGAACTCCACTCTGAATGTGTCATGGTTCCCATCGTAAGTGGCTTTGAACTTGCTATAAATCAACCAGACCGTGGTGAAGGAGCAGGCTATGTAGACCACCTGAGGAGGAGGATGATGAAAAGGGGCCTCAACTCACAGGCCAGGGTCTGTGCCCCAGCAGGCTCAGACCCAGGAGTCCAGACCCCTCCCTCAGACCCAGCAGTGCAGGCCCCCAGCCCCTCCTCCCTCAGACCCAGGAGTGCAGGCCCCCAGCCCCTCCTCCCTCAGACCCATGAGTGCAGGCCCCCAGCCCCTCCTCCCTCAGACTCAGGAGTCCAGGCCCCCAGCCCCTCCTCCCTCAGACCCAGGAATCTGGGACCCACACCGGGCTCCAGTGCTTCAGTGGGGGCCAGAGGGGTGGGGAGGAGCCTCTACCTTCATACACGTGTTGTAGAGTGAGATGTAGTTGGTGAAGAGGTCCAGATATCGGGCAGTGAACACCACAGCAAACAGGACCTGGCTCTTCCCTGAAATTCCTGTGGTCCAGAGAGAGACAGAGAGAGGGAAAGAGAGAGAGGGAGAGAGAGACAGAGCGAGCAAGAGAGAGAGGAGGCTGGGGGTGGGCTGCATGGGCAATAAACTAAGGCACGGCGCCCGGGACCAGCCTGGAGGCAGCTCTGGAGTGCAGCTGTCCCCGGAGGCCTCCCCAGCCGGCCCCGCCTCATCAGGGCCCTTTCCCACGGCCCACAGCCAGGGGGCAGCCCAGGCCCCCGAAGCTACTCCAGCCCGAGGCTCCGTCCCAGACTAGGCCTCATGGCCACCCCTGACCCCCTCAGGGTCCTCCTTCAGTCCGGACCTGAGGTGGGGCCTAGGGAGGACCTCCCCTGACCTCAGCCCCCCGATCTGGTCACCTTCCTCCCGTTCCCTTCCTGGCCGCCACGGTCCACGTCACCAACTCACAGCCACCTCCCCGCCTGCCATGGTTCCCTGTTCCCGGTCCGTGAACCCTCGGGCTGTCCAGACTGGGGCTGGGGGTGGCTGAATTGGGGGCCTAAAGCCATTCACATCAAACTGTATGCACCCCCGCCAGTCTGGGGAAGGGAGCTGATCCCCTGGAGACCCAGAACCTAGAAGAGAGATCCCCAGCAAGCAGTGGGGGTGGAACCTGTGCCCCTAGTGCCCCCAAACCCTGCCTGAGTCCTGGGACGCCCCCAACCCCCGCCCTCAATCTCTCTCCTTCGCCAGCCCTGGTGGGCCTCTCACCGGCACACGAGCGGGACTTCCAGATTTTGAGCAGTAGCAAGATGATGGCGAGGAGGTGGGAGAGGTCTCCCAGGAATCGGAAGAGATTCATGGCTGGGGGGCCCTGGCAGGGCTGAGTGGGAGGGAGGCAGGCTGGCGGGGGGCTGCCCCCCGAGGCTGCTGGTCTGAACGGGAGGCTGGGCTGGGGGGAAGGGAGAGGGACCCTAGGTGCGCTCCGCTCCGGGGAGGGGACTCTGGGAGGGGGAGCAAAGGCCGGAGCTGGCGGCGGAGCTGGAGCCGGGAAGAGGGAGGAGAGCGGGAGGGGGAGGAGTCCGGGCCGGGAGGCTCCGCCCCCGAGGGCGGGGCCCGGATCCCCGGCGCCCCCTATCGTCCACTCCTGCTTTGCCGTGGCGGCGCTAAATGCACCCCCAAAGCTGCCCCTTAGGAACTTGGGAGGGTCGCAGGGTTCGGAAAGTGCCAAATCCGGCACCGGCTTGCCCAGGCAGTCTGTGTCTCTGGAAGGGACGCAGTCCAGTACACCACCCTCAGCCCTTGCAGGGATGTAGAGGCTGCCCTCTGAGCTTTAAAAATCCTGCAGGAACCCAGAGGCTCAGCTGCCAGCTTCTGCCCCTTTCAGGCACTCTAGCTCCAATCCCCTAGAAGACAAGAAAGATACCCCACCCACTTCCTCCCCTAGACCCAGGACTCAAGGCCCCAGCCCGTTCGTCAGACCCAGCAGTCTAGGTCCCCAGCCCCTCCTCCCTCAGACCCAGGAGCCCAGGCCCCAGCGCCTCCTCCCTCAGACCCAGCAGTCTAGGTCCCCAGCCCCTCCTCCCTCAGACCCAGGAGACCAGACCCCCAGCCCCTCCTCCCTCAGACCCAGGAGTCCAGACCCCCAGCCCCTCCTCCCTCAGACCCAGGAGTCCAGACCCCCAGCCCATCCTCCCTCAGACCCAGGAGTCCAGACCCCCAGCACCTCCTCCCTCAGACCTAGGAGTCCAGGCCCCAGCGCCTCCTCCCTCAGACCCAGGAGTCCAGATCCCCAGCCCCTCTGCCCTCAGACCCAGGAGTCCAGACCCCAACCCCTCCTCCCTCAGACCCAGGAGTCCAGACCCCCAACCCCTCCTCCCTCAGACCCAGGAGTCCAGACCCCCGGCCCCTCCTCCCTCAGACCCAGGAGTCCAGGCCCCAGCCCCTCCTCCCTCAGACCCAGGAGTCCAGACCCCCAGCCCCTCCTCCCTCAGACCCAGGAGTCCAGACCCCCAGCCCCTCCTCCCTCAGACCCAGGAGTCCAGACCCCCAGCCCCTCCTCCCTCAGACCCAGGAGTCCAGATCCCCGGCCCCTCCTCCCTCAGACCCAGGAGTCCAGGCCCCAGCCCCTCCTCCCTGAGACTCAGCAGTCCAGGGCCGCAGCCCTTTTCCCTCCTAGGATGCTGTTCCTTGGAACTTAGGGTCCCACCCCCACCATCTTATGGCTCAAGCTTCCTAACCTTAAGAATCTAGATCTACGTTTTCTTTCTCCCTTTACGACCCACACATTTAGGCCCTGATTCTCTTCTTTTTCAGGAATGTGCACCTCACCCTGCTCTCCCAGACCTTGAGGATGAAGGAAACAGGAACCCCACCCAGGAAGCTCAAGGCTGAAACTCTGACCCAAACTATCTCAGGAGCCCCTGGCCCTGGCTTCCCCCCGCTCCAGAATTTCTGCCCTGCCCACACACACACACACCCTCTTCCACCCTCAGAGGCCCAGCTGTCCTGCCCCATGCTCTACCCTACAGTCACACGGGTGGCTTCATAAAAGTGCCGGGCCCAGCCCCCTAGGAGGGGAATAGTGGGCATCTGAGTGTGGGACCCTCGGGGAACAGCCTGTGGTCTGGACTCCTGCGTCTACGAGGAGACAGATGCTGCTTCCCTTCTGGATGATGGGGTACCCACAGGTGATGGAGGCCAGGGTCCCTCAATAAAAGAAGGGGAGCAGGCATGTTGGTTTCTTCACAGGGTTGGAAGGACTGGGTACCCAAAGGGGACATCCACGAGTCTTGGGTCCCTGAAGGTGGCTTGTACTGGGGGAGAGTCTGGATGACAGAGTCCTTAAAAGAGACTCTGACTTGGAGGCGGGCCCCAAATCCCTGGGTCCCAGTGGAGAGGGGACTCCTGGGTCTGAGGGAGAAGGGACTGGGGGGCGGGACTCCTGGGTCTGAGGGAGAAGGGACTGGGGGGCGGGACTCCTGGGTCCACGGTGGAGACCTGGTTTTCAGGCCTGGCCTTCTGGGGCAATAAAAGCCACAGATTGGGTCTTAGTATGGCGAACACTGAAGTCCGGGAAAGGCCTCCTGTTTCCAGAACCTCAAGGCAGGGATGGGGCAGAGGGCAACAACCCCCAGACCTGAAGTCTAGCTCTGAAGCTGATGTCTCCATACCAGGTTCTGAGTCCCTGCCTGCCGGTCCCCAGTCCGACTTCTTCCTTCCGTTTTATTTTCAGCCCCTCACTCCCCTGTCCCAGGAGGAAGGCAGAGGCTGGTAGCTGGGGTGGGGGGCGGCCCCCTCCCCAAGCCTGGCAGGAGGAGGGGTCCCCAGGGAGGCCAGGAGGGGGGGCTGTGGGTCTCCCGGCAGTGGCGGACGGGGACTGAATGTTAATCGCATCCCGAGTGAGTGTGTGTGTGCGAGAACACAGCAAGTGTGTGAGTCCCTCCCGCTCCGGCTCCTCCAAGCCGCGGCCGCCGCCGCCACCCTCGCCCGCAGCCTCCCGCAGCCTCCCTCGGCCACCGGTGCCCTGCTGGGGGGTGTCGCCTGGGTGGGTCCGCCTGGCCCCCAGGGGTCTCTCGAGCGTCTGCCATCTGACCGGTGAGGATCTGTATGTCCGGGTGTCTGAGGCTGGCTGGTGGAGGGGGGGTGTGTCTGTAAGCGCTGCGGCGGTGGAGGGAGGGAGGGGTCTGTCTGTCTATACCGACCCTGAGCCGCCTGCCTGGGTGTCATGGGGCCCCCACTCCTTCCCCCCGGCCCCCCCAAAGCCAGATGGATGGTGTGTACCTGGGTTCTGTGCCTCCTGCCTGCGTCCGGCCAGGCGTCTGGGCGTCCCCGGCTGCCTGTGTCCTCCTGTCTGTCCAAACAGCCCCTATTGGCAGTGGCAGCCTGGCCCCCATTAGACCCCCCACTCTGTGTGTGTGTGTCTGTGTGTGTGTCCCTCCTCAAGCTCTGGGGGTGTTGGGGAATCCCAGGGAAGTGAGGTCGTGCATGTGTGTGTGTGTGTGTTTCTGCCTGTGTTTGAGAGTGGGGGCATCTGGGGGGGTCTGGAGGTGGCCAAGCGAGGAAGGGAAAAGCAGTTCCCTAAGCAGGCAATCTCCCGCTCCTCACACACACACACACTAGCCACCAGCTTCAGAGGTGACCCAGACAGACAGACAGACACAGACGCTGGAAGGGGGGGTGGGGGGGCTGAGGGCACAAAGCGGGGGTGCGAGTGAGCCAGGGAGAGGCGGGACTGGACACATGGAAAGGGGGGAGGAGCCGGGGCTGAAGCGGCAGAGGGGGGCACCCCGGGTGGGCGGAGGGGGGATCCCCACGGGGTCGGGGCGGCAAGAGGACACCCCGACAGCCTCCGCAATGTCCGGGGCCCAACTTCCAGAGCAACATGTGTAGCCACGTCCTCGCCTAGTCCAGGTGGCCGCAACCTTGGGGGAGAGACAGGGCAGGACAGGACCAAGGAAGAGGAAGGAGAGACGGAGCCAGGGACAGACAGGAGGTCCGGGCTGCCGCTGCTGCCGCCACCACCACTGCCGCCGCCCCGGGGCCTGTCCCCCGACATCGGCTCTCTGAGCCCTCCTCGGAATCTTGGGGTCACTGGACACCGGGTTCCGGTCCTGGCCCCCCCACCATCCCCCCCACAGAACAGGGTCATGAAAAGGTAAGGCGGGGACAGGGGATGCAGGGGTGGTGGTGGGAATGTGGACCCCCAAATCTAGGACAGGGGAAGTTGGCCAGGAGCCTCTTGGAGGGAGGGGGGTTGAATGGTGGGCAGGGGTCTTGACCCCCACCTAGCTCCCCTGCCCCTCAGGGACTCTCCTCCACCCTGTCTCTCTCTCCCTCTCTGAGCCCCTTTTTCCTAGGTCCCTACACCTCAGACCTTTCACGCCCCCCATTTCTCTGACACTTGACTCCCTCTCCCCAGCCCCACATACCTGATGCCCCATATCCCTGTGCCTCCATCTATCTCACTTCTCCCTGTACCCCCCTCCCTGCATCAGTCCTCCCCATCGCCGGCCGGCCCTCTCCCTCTCTCCTCTCGCTCTCCCCTCCCATGTCAGAGCTATGAGTCTGCTATTAATACCCCTGCCAAGGACCTTGAGGGCATCCAGGCCCCCAGCACCCCTCGCCCCAAGCTCCCACCCCTTCCTCAAGGTTCTGGAACACCCTTACAGCCTCTTCCAAGCATCAGGATTCGGGTGGGGAGAGACCGGTGTTGTGTGTGTTGGGGGGTGAGGGGGGAGGAAACGGGATGCCGTCTGCAGCACAACTCGAGGTTGCAGGGGGGAGCTGTTGATCAAAGTGGCCGCTTCTCTCTTCTGTGTTGGATGCTGTGGGGGGCAATGAAGACAGGGACACCCTAGGAATTTCTGGCACCCTCCTCCTCCTCCCCGCTTGGGGACAGGCTGTGCTACGTACAGGATCTAAGTGGGGTGACTAGGGAGGCTGGAGCTGGGGGGGGGGCACCCAGGATGTTGGGAATGATGGGGTTTGAAACCTTAAGGGAGGAGAAGAGTGGGAACCCAGACTCCTGGGTCCTTGGGGGAAGAGGGGAGCTGGGGACCTGGACTCTTGGTTCCTGCGGGGAGAGGAGGCTGGGCACTGGAGTTCCAGAGTCTTGGGGCAGGAGGGCCCAGCCTCCTGGGTCCTGGGAGAGAATAGGACTGAATGCCCAGACTCCCAAGGCCTGGGGGAGGAAGGGTCTGCCGGAAGGACTCCTGGGTCTTTATGGGAGGAGGTAGGGGATAGCGCTTCTGACTGAGGAAGGACAGGCTGGGAGCTCAGTCTCCTGAGTCCCTGACAGGGCAGGGGATGAGAGTCAGGGACTTTAGCCTTGTGCAGATGGAAGTGGAAACGGAGGCTCATGAGGAGGTGGAGATGGAGGCGAGGGTGGGGGTGGGGGGTGTCGAGAGGCTGGACTCTGTGATCCCTGAGGGCGTGGGTTCTGGGGGCCGGGCCTTCAGAGTCCTGGAGGACTGGGGATGTCCCTCCTCTGTCCCTGGAGTGGGGGAGGCTGCTCTCCCTAATCCCTGTGGGAAGGAACTGAGCATGCAGCCCCCGTGAGAAGGGTGGGGCCAG